AAATTAAAATTTTTAATATTTAAAAGTATAAATTAAAAATTAAAATATTTTTCTAGGTGTATAGTAAGATTAACCCACTATGTTTATCGATTTATGGGGGTGTCCGAAAGACCATCACATGATGGGCCTAACTGCCCATGTGTAGTTGGTCTTCCTGAGTTTTTCACAAACCGTGGGCTACTACAGAATGCAGGGCTGAAGATCCAAATTGATCTATTTGATTTACTTCAAAAGAAAAAGGCCAATGAGACGACGTCGTTTGATAACATCACACAGAAGCGAAACCCTAGCCGTCAACAAGCGTATATAGAGAACACTGGAGCCACTTCTGAGGATAATCAGTAATCTTGTGCGGAGGCGAAGGTCGGCAGCGGTAGAGGAGAGAGAAGATGCAGATCTTCGTCAAAACTCTGACTGGGAAGACCATAACCCTCGAGGTCGAATCGAGCGACACCATCGACAATGTCAAGGCCAAGATTCAGGACAAAGAAGGTACTTATTCGTTAGAATTTGAACTTTTTTTTCATTTCTCTGATGTCATATCGTTGAGTCCTCTTTAACGTTGACTCATGATCTGGCGGGGATGATATTTGATGGTTTTTTTTTGGTAGGTATTCCGCCGGATCAGCAGCGTCTTATATTCGCCGGTAAACAGCTAGAAGATGGCCGTACTCTCGCCGACTACAATATCCAGAAAGGTTCTTTTAATTGCACAAACCCTCTATTATTGTATGCGGAGAAACCAATATAATACGGGTCACGTATACTTTTTATTCGATTGGATGTGAAATTTTACAGAATCGACTCTGCATCTTGTTCTAAGGCTTCGTGGTGGCATCATAGAGCCGTCACTGATGGCATTGGCTAGGAAGTATAACCAGGACAAGATGATCTGCCGCAAGTAAGTTTAGACTAGGCATTGGTTGATTTTTCTATAATTTTTTATCATGATGTCAGCTTCAGTTAGATAAAATTCTGTGGCAAGAGGTTTTCACCTAATGTTGGTTTGACCTTTAACTTCTGATTAGCTGAACCCATTATAGAAGTCAAGTTTTGATTTGTTTTTCTGCCTCAAAATGGTTTGGTTTTGTAGGATAAAAATTGTTAATAAAGTAAGCGAAGATTTATGGGCTAAGAAGTTGGAGAGGATGGACCTAGCCACCTAGGTGATCTTTAGTGCATTTCATCGATCGAACACCCTAGGGTTATACATTTTGTATATATTTTTCTTTGTTATTTTGTCATTTGTTTTTCTATATGAAAAGACAAAAACATTTGAAATTTAAAAAATAAAAAAAAAATAGTAAAATCCAAAAAGAGTTTGATGTCAAATTTGACAGTTTTAAAACTGAGGGTCAGAAGTCTGGATTAAGGAGTTGCTGCTCTTAATAGCTTGGAACACGTATGGGGTTCTGTAGAGTTAAAGAATTAGGGGTTACTGTGGAGTTTCTGAAGATAGTTCATGAGGAGGACAAGCAAGCATAAACAGAAGCCATCAATAATTATTCTTATGCAATAGGATTTTAGATTGGATTCCATAAGTCTCTTGCCTTGAATCTTCATCTTTGGAGTTCTGTCCAAGTGGTCTTCCAAAGCTTGATAATCTTTTTCAATTGACACTATTGTACTGCATAGAAAGTTAAACTCGCTCATTTCTATGATGTTGGACTGTCCTTTGACATGCAACCCAATTCCATGCTGACAGATATGCATTATATTTTGCTACACAACTTATGCAATAATAAAAGTAAATATTAGAAAATCCGTCACTTACATTATTCTTAACAGATTACTACTTGAATAAGTGAACTTTATCTAACCAGGTGTAAATCTTATGTAAACTATTCAGAATGCAAGTTGCTATGTTATATGTATACACTCAGTGTGGTTTTAGAAGACTTTCATTTCTATTTTTTTTCAGTTCTATTTTGATAGCTCTTGCCATGTTTTGAGAACTCTTTCTTATATAATCTTATGTGAGGAGTTGGGCTTATTGGTTGAAAGCAACCATTTGCTATATCTGTTTTGTTTTGACTATGGTGTTCAATAGCTATAATCATTACTGAATTTTGTCTCCAGATGTTATGCTCGTCTGCACCCTCGTGCTGTCAACTGCAGGAAAAAGAAGTGTGGACATAGCAACCAATTGAGGCCAAAGAAGAAGATCAAGTAGACAGTGACTTTCAGAGGATTGTATGTCGGAGATTTAGACCCTTGTTTATCTGCAAGAATATGTTTCTTTTTGTTGATGGCCATGTAGGTTGAGCCTTCTTTCTCTTAATGTGTGTTGGACCGCATCCCATTTTGAATTAAATCTTTCATTGAAGCTTCCTAGTGGTGCTTCTGATAAGCTTTATCATCTCAACTTTATGTGGGTGATCTAAACCTGTGGTTTTTTAATCCATGCCAAGCATTGATTATATCCATCATAATTCATAAGTTCTCGGTTGGTGATCCCTGTATAGGAGCCACATGTGATGTTATTGCATATAAGTTTTATGCGTGATCAATACCTCTCAGTTTAGTGCTTTGCATGTGTATTAGTAGCTGGGCCTCTAGCGCTTTGGTAGGTCGACGAGTGGAGTTGTTAAATGGTCCGAGTGGTTTGAGCTCATTGGGTTAGGGTGTAGTCTAGATCACAAAGTGAATGCTCGTATTTGACTTGTTTACAAAACGAACTATTTGATTAATTAAGATGCACTTTTGACCAGTGGAAAGGGGGGTTTTGTTTGCCAGAGAATGCATCAATTTTGAGTTCTGGCTGAAATTGTTGACAAAAAATAGCCTCAATGGCTGATGGTAAAGATGCACCTACATTCTTCTCTTGCGGATTGACTGTGGATTGGATTCAAGGTCACACAACCATGAATACTCAAATCAAATGAAATAGATGTAAATGTAGCTGTTGTGCTGTATCAATTCTTTTTAGTTCAACCCTTTAGGGTTCCAATAGGTTTGGAAGACAGCCTGTATCAGCGGAAATAATTCATCATTAGTACGCAATATTTTTGGATCATTAGCTCGGAAATGAAACCAGCTATTAACTAGATTAATATATCTTTTATTAGCACGAACAAGACGCATACTGAAATAATAAGAGCTAAACTAGATGGTATACCCCGTCGTAACGTTCCATAATCACATCTAAAATGTATACCCATTTGTTTGCAGTTCGGCCCCAACTAGATCCTTTTTCGTAATGGTAATGTGTTACAAGTGTGCCTTTCTGTCTATTTCTGTTAAAATGTGTTATTTACGTGATTATATGATACAAAAAGATAAAATGACTCAATTGATACAATTAGAGACTTTAGAGGCTTAATTAACAACAAAAAAATGTTCAAAAACTTAATTGATACATGAGTCATAGTTTGTGGGTATATGTGCAGTTTATTCTAACAATTTGTGTCACGTGAGTCACATATTTCATCACTTTCCATTAGAAAGTTTAATAGAGATAAATAAAACGGTTCAATTGACACAATTAGAGATTTTATGAACTCAATTGACACAAAAAAATAATTAAGAATTTAATCGACACAAATATCATAATTTAAAAACCATTTTTATAGTTTATTTTTTAATGTATGTATTTGTTGTATTTTTTAGTCATTTTGCATTACTACATTCTCTAAATTGGTTAGATGTATCTGCTTTCCAATCTTTTTTATTTTTATTTTTATTTTTAAATACAAACTACATTTATGGGCTGTCTGTCTATTTGAACCAGGACAATAGGTTTTACTTATGTGTGAAATAGACAAAATGCTAACACAAAAAGGTCTTTCTTTACTTCTTTTTACCCACTCCCCAACCTTTCTCAAATCCCAACGAACGAATCATGGCTAAGTAATAAATCGGTACCATGTCCAACATTCTTTTTGAGATTTTAATTCTGATTTTAAAAATTATTAATTATGAAAAAATATTAAATGAAATGATGAAAAGTTATTAATTTTCTTCCCACTATTTTAGATCAAAAAATAAAAATCATTAAAAATACAAAATAAGAAATCAAAACTCTCCCCTCTCCCTTACGTCGGACCATCTTGGTCCCCTTGTTCTCTCTCCAATCGATATCAACTGTAATTCTTATTATTTTAGTTCAACCTTCGCCATAATCATCACTATCATAAAAGTTATCACGGCAAAATTCACTACCAGCCCTGACATATACACAAAAAATAAATGCAGTTTATGATTAATGGCTAAACACTCCATAGTTTAAAAAAAATCAAAAAAACAAAAACTGTTTTCCCTATAAAACAAAGCCAATAAGATTTTTTTTTTTGTTTTTTGAACTGAAAGCCAATATGGAAAAAACATGTTTCCACATAATAATGAGAGAGATAATAATGAGAGAGAGAGAGTGTATGGGGGTCCAAGGCTGCACGTGGTCATATCTGCTACCCAGCTGGAGTTGTGCTGTAGGGCTAAAGGCCCCTGGGGCTCTCTGCTCTCTTGTCCTTTGGCCTCCATCTCTCTCTCTCACTCTCTCTACTTTCACTCTCTTTTGCTAGCAAATCATTATATTCATCATAATGTTGAGTGTTCATCATAGCACCATCAAACTCAAAACCTAGTTCATTCCTATCTCCCTCTTCTTCATCCAAGTCAATAATGAGAGGCCGATCGAGGAAAGAATATCCGATCAGAGATCGAGGCCGACAGAGAAATAGAAGCGTTTAAGATGGGTTATTATGCTTCCGCTTTGAGGGGAATGTTGTTTGGCACGAAGCCACGAACTCGATGATCTAATTCAGAGCTACACATCCATAATTTCATAAAAATACATATTCTTTTGCATATATTATATATGTAAGATCACGTAGTTGTGCCGTCGGACCAGGCTTCATTCCCCCCAATCACTGCCCGCAATTCACTCAAAGAGAAGTTTCTGTGTTTCGGCTCTACCTATTTGATCAATTACTTGAACCAGCTTGAAGGTTTAGATTTAGATTTATAGATAATTGGTTTTTCGTTACTTGTCTTGCCATAGGATGTTCTCTCTGTTCACGGGTTTTAGGTTTCATGAAATCATGTCTGCTAATCACAAGCAGATTGGGGTAATGATGAAGGGTTTTGACTGGTTTTCATTCTGTTCAGACAGAGAAGACAAACTTTATTCATCATTGCTCTTCGCCGTTTTTTGTTTTATTTACTATGTTTTTCAACTTAGTTATCGTGGTATTGTATCTTGTCAGACACTTGAGTTTTTGCAACCCTTTTATATTGTTCACGACTTAACAAATTTTCTATTGGTGGCTTCAAGTTTCTGTTTTTCAGTTCGTGTAGCTCATCTCTTCCATATTTCTTATTAGGGTTTGTCTTTGAAATCTGAAAAAGGGACCAAAAAAGACACGGGAAGATCAAATGATCGAAAATTATCCTGTTAATCCCCAGTTTCAGTCCTCATTTCTTTATGTTCATAGTATGTGGGTGATTTCCAAACCCTTAAGGAGTTTCCTATTGTGAGTTCGTTGGATTGGTGAGTTGAGTTTTTCGAGCTCTTTAGTCTGTCTCTAGCTTTACCAATGTTATATTAATACATATAAACTGTAAGCGTGGGTGTGGGTGTGTACTAAACAGAATAGTGTGATACGTGGTGGACATACTGCTGCACCAAAGAGTTGAAGAAGGTAAGACCGTAAGAGTGGATAAATATTATGTTTATGCATTTATTTACTTTTCACATGAGGTATCTTTCTGTAATCTTTTAGGCATTCTTCTTTTATTTCCCCTTTGATGCAATCGCAATCTATCTTGTGTATATTATCCCTCAGCTGAGTATATTATCTTATCTTTAGTTTTACTGTGGAGAATATTATTATCTCACCAACCCTTCATGAAAGGCTATGTTTGCTGTTGTGAAAATATATAACATGCAGGACTTGTCCTTAGCTTCAATCAAATTTCCATGTCAGAGAGTTTGAATGAAGCTGTCAAGTCCATCCTCCCTGAATCAGGTGCAAAATGTAAAAGGTTTGACACTTTCCTTTGATTTTTTTTCCTGATAAATGATTTGCATTCTATGAATTACCCAACGGTGGTGCTTAAATGGTGATCTATTTAATAACTAAATATGGGGCTGAAGACCTAAATTCATACCTTGGAAAAGAAGTGTATTTAAGGTCATTTGAAACTTATTCCATTGAAGTTTAACACCGGTAATAATTAAACAATGAAAGCTGTGGAGACTTATAATAGAAACTGGAGTTCCTGGAACTTTTCCTTTTTGCACGTGCAGTAAATTCATCACTTTTTCATTTGTTCATCGCCTAACTTTGCCAACATTTTCCACTGTCTCCAAACCAATCGCAAAAAGTCTGTATGACATGGCTCCATTGACTATGGAGGAGAAGAACCTGATGACTTTATATTTTCAAAAACTACAGGAAGCCAAACGGAGTTAAGTTGATATGGATCAACTCCTTGCGCTAAAGATACTACCATTTCCGAAGGAATTAGAGCTACATTTCCTTTTCATTTTTATTCAATTCAAGAATTCTCATATGTTTCTACGCGCTTTCGAGACATAGAAACAAATTTTTTTCTTAGGAATACATGTAGAAGATTCGTCAAAATTTGCAAATTGATAAAATCGGGTGGACAAATTTTCTATCTCTAGGGGAAAACACTCTGTACAAAAAAAAAAAGAATAATTTATGTTTTAAAGGAATCAACATGGCTGCATTTTCCATTGTAAGTATCCTTACAGTTTCAGCCTTGCTACTATCTGTTTGTTCAGTTTTTGTGCTGAGAAAGGCTATTTTGGTTTTTCCGATAAATTGTCAACTTACATTGCAATTTGCAAGGGCATCCGCTAGCTAGCTGTTACTTATTTTCGTATGCTCACTGTAGTTTTACACGGTGTGATCAGAGTTTCAGAACTCGGGAACTGCGCATTGATGTAGAAAGGGAAAGCTGATGACTGGAAAGGTTAGAATCATGTTGACGAGAACTGAAGATGAACGAAGCTGGTGGGTTAATGCAATAAAGACGATTCGTGACAACCGCAAACCAATGAAGCGCTCTCTCTCTCTCTCTCTCTCTCTCTCATACACAGACTGCACATACTTCAGCTACGCCAGAACCTTTAGGGACTGTGTTGGATGTTTTTTTTTTTTTTGGATTAGATTGTATTCACGAAGCCCTTTCATATGTATTTGTACACAAGATTCAAACAATAAACTTTATTTAATTTCATGTTTGTTAACATATGGGACATATGGCTTCATTTCAAATCATGTTTCTCAATTAACTAAAATGTCTATTATTAAATGAATAAAAAAAAATAGTTTTTGGGCAAAATTGTAATTTTATCTACAAATCTCATTTCTTACATTTAAAAGTTACCATTCATATTGGTCAGGATTAACCCAATTGTTTAATCACATTTTCTTTAAAAATGAACCATCTAAAAACTAATTTTTCTCAATCTCACCCATTAATCCACTTTAAACCAATAAACCAAACACCCCTTAGGAAGTGGGATTTCATTTTGCTTCAAATGGCAAAGCCTCGTATAGAAGCTCAGTTTCAAACTTCAAAATCCACTCTTTCTTTGCTTCACAATATCAAAGATCCAGTCATCTGGGCTGCCCGCAGATAAAGTGTTACAAAATGTAGACTTGTTTTTCTCCTATCTCCAATGGTATCCTATGTTAAGTTCAAAAAATGGTGATCAAATAGGAATATGAAATTTGTTGAAATTGTAACGTTTCATGTTGTGAGATTTAGTGTAATCAAGTAATCTAAGAATTATTGGCATCAATAATACAAAAATAAAACAACACGACCAACAATTAAACTTTTATTTTTTGGCACGGCCCCCACATTTTTTTTAGTGAGTACCAGAGTGCATACCCTGATCCTTAAAGAAGAAAAGTACTTACAGCAGTTATAATAGCATAAAGCAAAGCGTGGGGACACACAATTCAGGGTTTTTTTTTATGCTTGATGATGCATATGAAGAAGGAAAGGAGAATGAAGATCCAAGAGAGTTGTGAAATTGAGTAGTATGAAGCATATGCACAAATCATAAGTATATTTTTTTATATACTATGAGGCATATAAATCTTTTTTTATAAAATAATAACTAAATACTTTTAAGTTTTCTAATGAAATTATATTTCCTTACAAAATTACATTAAACATGTTACAAAATTGCACATCTCAAGTTGTCAATACAAAAATTTAAGGAAAATTTTTTCCAGATATGTTTGCCAAAGTTTATATCCAGATATATTAATCATCATGATGGTCAACGATCGAAACTTTTATTCAACTCAGCTGGCATTGTGCTAAGTTCTGGTAATGTACGACTCCGTCACAAAGAAGAATCTAAAGGTGGGTTGAATATTGTATGGCCACCCGTCACCCCTTCAACTGCCAAATTTAAAATTAAGATAAATTCTTCCTGCCAAATAAATCATTTCTACGGAGAGTCCGGAGGTAGGTATTCACGAAGAATATCTCTTATGATCTAATTTAAATATATTGTTAAAATTCAAACTCACAACATCTGCACATAGAGGGCAAAGTATAACCCACCACAACCATACAATACCGAGACCTTAGGAGCCATCTCATAACACCAACATCCACCTTCTCATTCTCTCTCTTGCTATCTTTTCTACCTGCGCAACAGCCTGGTTTCCAGCCGGTTGGGAGAAGAGGTGGGATTTACACCCCCCCTCTCTCTCTTTCTCTCCCCTCTGCCCTCCACCCCCAATTCCAAATTATGCAATCTCAAGCTCTCAGCAAAACATTACCACCACCCTCGTCAAAATTATCACGGCCACTGTCACCGTTGTCACCACCACCAGATATCGATGAGAAAACTTCATTCTTTAATCGATAGCAATGGCATGGCACTGCCACCAGTATTACCACCATCTTCATCACCTTCTCCTTCTCCATTATCTTATGGTAGTTACGACACACGGCCTTTTTTCGACTTCCCTCTAATACCAGTCCTTGACAACATCCTCGATTTTTCCACCCTTTCTTTAATCTCCGGTCTCTTCCTCCTCTCTCTCTTCTCTTTATCTCTCATCTTCCATCTACGCTTAATGTCACGTCAATCACACCATCTGCAAAATTTCAACAATCTCTGGACCGTCCGATTACTCCTCGTCTCCTTCGTTTCCCTTTGGGTCATCAACGAAGTCCTCCGTTTACCCAGTTTTCATCGCCGGCATCTCTACCCATTCTTTCCTTCTCTAACCCTCACCCAACAAGCCAACCTCTGTAAATTTCACCTTGTTCTCTCTCTTGGCTTCTTGGAACCAGGCTTCTTATTAACCCTTCTTTTCCTCGTTAACGTTTCGATCAGGAAACGAAACCAACACGACTGGTCGGCGATCACATCAATGTTCATCATGTGGTTTCCAATTCTGTTGCTGCAGATTTGTTTTGTGTACTTTTCACCGTTCAAGTCACAGTTACCGGCGGTTATGCACAGAAGCTTTCTCCTCATTCTTGACGTTTCTGACGAAAGTATGGTGGTTTGTACGTACCCTTTGTTAAGTTGTATCGTCTTTGCTGCATTTGCGATTGCATATTCTCTGGGTTTGTTGTTATCTTGTTGGAGGGTTGTGGCTTTCGTGATCAACAAAGGTACTAGAGTTCGAATCAAAATGCTTGTTTCCACGGTCATGACAGCGCTAACAATGCAAATTCTTCTTCTTGTATTGGCTTCATTGTGGCCTGGGTATAATATTGTCGTTCTCGCCATGTTCACTTGTGTTTCGTTATGCGCCGCCGTTGGGGAGGTTATTGCGGTGATCAAACCAACCATGGACGCTTTAGCTGCCGGCGGAGAATGTTGCCGGTGGAGTCCTACAGGTCCATTACGGCCGGAGGTTGACCAGAGTTTGATGGGTCAGATTCGATAGCAATGAGCCATAGGCCTTGATTCCACGACGAGGGTATCAAGGTCTCTTCTCACTTCACAAGCGAGGGCAATTCGATTAACCAAAAACAATGGCTTTTCAAGCTTACAGCGCAGGGTTTCATCTACTGAGAAGAAGAAAGGAAAGATTTAAGTTGATCTCATATGTTTCTGATCTGCCCTCCTATCCAATTGTAGAGTTTTGCCCATGAAACTGAGTTTGATGGTGTATCTGTCTATTCACAAAAGGAATTCACTACAAATAGGAAAGATTTTGTTCAATTATTTGGCAAAAAATGAGAAAAAGAAAAAGAAAATACTGTAATACGATAAGATGGTAGAGATTTTCTTGACCAATTCTTTTCTCTTTTCCATCTATGTTTCTGCTTAAAGGCACACTCTAATACATCGTGCATGAACCAGCAGTTTTTGTCACTCATAGTTTCATTTGCATGAGTAAATATTGAATCCAACGGTAAAACTACGTCACGATCGATGAGACATGGTATCATCTATCAATAATAAAATTTTAAATAAGAGAAATAAATCCCACTTGAACTTACATGATAAGAAGTGTAAAAAGTTATTTGTTTACATGATAAGTTAGTTATTGATTTTTGTGGGTTCCATGTGCTTATTTGTTTTAGTACTATTAGTTGATAATACCATATCATCTTGTCACGTGGTATCACCGTTGTAACGAATATTTTCTCCATTTTCATGGTTTCTTGAAGATCATGGAAAAAACAAAGCAAAACAAAACAATAATGCTATTCAACCTTAAATTATTAATTTAATTTGTTAATCTTATCCACTATAACCGTTTGATTGACGTGATTAGAATGCATTGAATCAATAAATTACGGCAATGAATTAAGTAGCATTTACATTGAATCATTATAATTGGCATTAGTTGGAGAGCTCAGTGTGACATTGCATGCATGTAGAAATCTGGATTTCGATAGTCTATATCTATTGGACATAAATTTTGTAGTGCTCTCATGAACCATACATATCAGAAACCAAATCCCATTAATCTTGCTTGTTAAGTGGGTAAGACTAGGATTATAGATTGTTTAGAAGACAAAGAGTGGGGTTTGGTTGATGCAGGGTGTGGTGCTATTGGATATAGATCCTCCTCAACTTCAAATTTTATCAATCTCGACTAACTTCAAATTCTGTCGCCAAAATTTCTAATAATACTCAATGGGATCATTTGGTGGTGTTCTAGACTAAATTCCGCTATCCATCGCTAAAATTTTTACTAATACCGAATGGGAACATGGTGGAGGATCCATATTAGAGGGAAAATTGAAGAAATTTGAAATGGGAGGATCCAAACATTGGGCACTACTCATGGGTGTTGGGGGCTAACAAAATCCTAAAATTAGATTGGGTAAGGTACAGATTTACTTGTAACTAAGATTGGTCAATCTAAACCTAACCCAAGCCCAACACTACACATCCAATACTTGGACATAAATTATAATCTCAATAAAATCATAACATAATTTAAATCAAACATTACTCATTCAAGAGTCTCTCTTTTTGGGATCCAACCTGTATCCAATTCTAATAAGTGAATCTAGAGTTGAATACAAATTGAACCCAATTGGGCAATTGAGCTTGGGAATTGAATCAGAAAATTTTAAACATGGACAATATTAAGATTGAAATGTTTAGGCTAAATCAGTTGAATCCAAATTGACCTCTCAAATCCTCCTAGTTCCACCCTGGCGTAAAAGGATTGCTTAATCCGAATAGTGACATTACCATTACGAAAGCAATGAGCAATCAAGAAGGCTTTTTCGTCCTAGCATGATACGTAAGAATTCAGGATGTGTGTAGTCTTTCCTAATGATTATTGATTGAGTAATACTTACAAGAAAAGAAATGTTCTGGCAAGGAAGGGCATTCATACTTGTCCATCGTCAGCCAATTAGGATAAGGTTTGATTGCTATGGACTTGATAGTCAAGAAGTTACCATCTTCTACATATTACAGTTAGAGTGATTTTTCAGTGAGATTCACACACAAGTTTTTTTTTAAGCGATGAGGGTAATATTTGAGCCGCAATAATGTCAAATGTTACTGTGCGATTCTATGTTCTCCACTCGAATAATCAATCATTTAATTAAATAGAATTAGCTCATTCAAACACATAATGAAACATGCATATAACAAATATAAAAAAAATTGAAACATGGACATCGTTATTCAAATTGAAAGTTGCCTATTTTTCCTTATTACTCACACTGTTCAAAGGCAAAGGTTGAATCCTAACTTTAGCCCTCCCATTGGATATCATATCACTAAATTATCACTATAATGCAATAGCTCAATTGAAACTTGTTTCGCTATTTCAGAAATGGCTTCCAACCGGACTACTTTCAGACTTTATACAAAGTTTCGGATTGCATTTCCATTGAGGGTGAATAACTCTGGTGAAGATCCAATAAAAAACACACCTTGACCAAGATTTTGAATGAGGAAGGTCAAGTTTCTACACTAGATAAATTCAAAACAAACAACATCAAGTGCACAAACTCCAAATTTTTTAACTTGTGGTAATAACATAAACTCGGGATGTACGTACAGTAAAATACAAGAGCCTCTTGCATGGGGGTCAACGGAGCGGTAGCAAGACTAAAACTTGAATCTCTGAGGTAATAACTTCTGAACTCTTCCCATCCCAACTAAGCCATGGATTCATAGAAATATTTTTTCAAGGTCATAAGCGAGAACATGGGTCCATTTGAAGGGGTGGGACCTCTATTCCATTTATTTTTTTTGCTGGTGAAAAAAAGAGGTAAGTATAAAAAAGAATGTTCATATACTATTCCGTTAAAATTTTACTGATAGAATTACGAGGTCTTTGACCTCGCCCGTTATTTCTTTGGAGAACAAGTCTAATTAAATTAGTATAAACTATAAAATTTGACTTCAAACCTTAAAGTTAGAAATTGAAAGGCTGAAATCCATGGTCGGTCCCTTTAATTTAAAGGATAAGAAATGCATTCATTGCGCCTTACGTTGTTATTGCTTTGTCCCAAAGCAAGACCCCACCCATAGTATTTCTTGGACCGCCTGCCTTTTTGTTTCACAGTTATACAATTCCTTTACATTCGCACTATGCATTTTTGGCTCTTGAAACCGAAAAACAATGTAGCTTAATTTGTAATAGGATGAGTCATAAATTGAAATATTTCGAATTTGAATTTTGATAATTTTTTGAAATCAGACCATGAAAAATTTATTTCTTATGAATTGCCTAGTCTCGGCGTGAATGACTTGCTTTTAACCGGACTAAATAAAATATTAGTCAAAATGCATATAAGTTGACCTAAATACAATTTATAGTTAAACTTAAAAAAAATTTGAAATACTTAGGGAGAATTACATCTAGGCCTTTTGACGTTTATCACTTAATCACTCAGACCCCTTGACATTTAAAATATTACACACAGATCCCTGATGTTTGTACGCGCGTAACACTTAGACCCTAAAATAAATATATCATTTAATAAATTATATTTAAACCCCTTAAATTTAAAATATTATATTTTGACAAAAAATACTTTAATCAAAGATAAAATATCAAATATTTTAAATTTTACAACCAAAATTCATGTTTTATTGTATCAATTATTGAAATAAAATCAAAAATAAAAATTTAATTTTTTTCTTAAAAAATCATAATTAGTTTACAATTATATTGTCTATTAGAATTTAATTTAGTCGTTTAAACAACCAAATTAAAGACCAAACTATCCAAATTAAATCTAAAGGGTATTATGTCCGTTACAGTTTGAACCCTTATTTAACATTTTAGTTTTATTCTAATAGATAGTATAATTATATACTAATTATAATTTTTTTTTAAAAACTAGACTTTTATTTTTGATTTTATTTCAATAAATGAAATAATAGAACATGAATTTTAGATGTAAAATTCATGTTCTATTATGAATGATTTAGACCACTTGTTTGATTTTTTTAGTTTTATTTCAATAGATAATATAATTGTGTACTTGATTTTTTGAGAAAAAAATAAATTTTTATTTTTAATTTTATTTTAATACAATAGAACATGAATTTTTGTTGTAAAATTTAAAATATTTAATATTCTATATTTGATTAAAATATTTTTTGTCTAAATATAATATTTTAAATTTAAGGGATTTAAGTATTATATACTTACAAATTTTATGGTGGTATAAATATAATTTATTAATAAATATATTTACAGCAAAGATTTAAGTGTTGCACACGTATAAATTTTAAGTAATATACGTGTAATATTTTAAATATTAAGGATATGAGTGATTCCAAGGTAAACCTCAGAAAAGTCTGGGTTAGTTCTCCCAAAAACTTATCTGCAAGCAATTGAAAAGTGTAGGCGGAGAGATGCATAATGTGTATCACTCTCTGTAGGTGTGAAAATAGATAGAGAGAGGCTACGTGAATTGTGAAAGGTGTTTTGGGCAAAGGAATGACAAGTCTCAAATCAGTGAATATGCTTTGACGTTTTCATATCGAAGAAACTTGAAGACTTAAACATGGTCTACAGAACCCGTGGATGGCCAATCACAACGAGTCAAAGCTTAAAGGGTTAATCTCAATTTGTATCTCAAAAGATAATTTATATATTAATTTGTATTTCTAAAGATCAAAAATTTTAATTTATATATTCAAAGATAGAAATTTGTATCAATATGTATCCTCAAAGATAAAAAATCTTAATTTGCACCCTAAAAGATAGAAATTTGTATCAATGTACATCCCCAAAGATCAAAAATCTCAATTTATACCCTCAAAGATAAAAATTTGTATCAATGTACACCTAAAACTAAATTAAGAAATTATACCTAGATCTCATCATGCTTGTCACTTAATCATTTGAACCCCTTCACATTTAGAATATTACTTCTATATCTCATGACGTTTGTGCACGTGTAACAAGTAACTCCTTTTCATTGATATCTGTTAATATAACTGTTAAAA